GCACACAAATGCGGCAATTTAAGTATATTGAGTCCGGCACATACGATTAAAGAGACCTGCAACCGTTGATCACGAGCACTATAGTGTATATTGAGTTGTGTTTGATATTTCCTTCTGGAACGCAAAGCGGCGAGGGTGCTTTTAGCGCTTCAACAACACCAAAAAATATCAGTGAAGAGAATCATGAATTTTAGAGGCCACCAGGACAATAATTTTTTGGCAGCATCGTAAATTTAACAGCAAAGGCTTATTACAAAGGGTACCTGCTGTTATGCATGTGAGGTCATGACGTATATTTTAATCTTAGCCAAAATGAAGTATTACTTGTCTGCCGTGGGCCATGTCATCATCACTTACTGTTGCACAGCTTGACGCTTCAGGTACAGCTAATTTCCGATAGTCATTCCTTATTCAGCACATAAATGAACTACATGTATCCTCGCGATGCAAATTGATAAAATGTTTGCATGTGCGTACAGGGCCCACTATTTTCCAAAATAGTTATATTACTTGGTCACACTGGCCTTGCGCATCACTTTCTTACCATTTTCAGTAGCTTTAACTGCGTGTGCGGTCTTAAGCTTGGTCTTTATATTTTGCTGTGAATTGCGCTTCAGTGCCATCCGATGCATATGCATCGAGTTCTTGGCTGGTCGCGCTCGCACCAGCAGGTCCTGGCCGAGCGGCCTTAATAATCCGCCTGTAGCCGTGGCGGGAAGTACACCAGCCAACGAGATACCGTAGTTCTTGGCCAGACAAAACTGCAAGTCGCGTGGTTCCAGCGTTATACTTCGTCGATGTTTAGCCAGTTTACCTGAGAATTCTACCACGTCCTGCACGAAGTCCGATGCCATGTTCAGGAGCAACTCCTCTACGGCCGGCTGAAAGCAGAACTTGGGGTCAACTGTACGAAGTAGCTCTCCCAGTTGCCGATTAGGTGTCAATGCTTTGTTTATCGTATTGGTGCTCGCGAAAGAGTTAAATGGCGGCGCGATTGGCTCGGAGCCGGAGCTGCTTGGGACCATCTTCACAAAAGAGATTGATCGACTGTAACTTAAAATCTGGCTCAATTTTTCGTCCGTTAAATATTACTAGCTTTAGTGTGAATAAATCTTTCCATTTCGCCATCTTTCCTTTAATATTAATGGTTTCGTCCCCTACAAATAAAAGATTACAAATACTGCTATGAAGTTGTAGAATTAATCATAACACCGTACTAAATAAGATCATAAAATCATAGTCAAGAATATATCGAAATGGATTGCCAAGCCTATGATCACAAAAGGTAGAATGAGCACACTATTATTACAGTCTATGGTATCACGTAAACATGTTGCTGTACTAATTATAGTTAATCTACCATTTCGTTCAGAATCAAACTAAGAATAGCCACAAATGAATATTGTCTCAGCATGTAGTGTTTGTTTTAGATTTTTCATAAAAAAAGTATGTTAGTTAGAAAATATGTATCAAATGTACTCAAAAAGCATAGAATAGCATTTTTGTCTCACAATTGTTAAGAAAATATTTAATTCGGCGAACTCAATGTATATCAAAAATTCATACAAAACCGCGGATATTTTTTTGGTTATCGACATTATCTAGAGTAGTTAGTTATAATTGAATTTTTTTTAACAAACATTGAGATTTGAAAAAAGTGCTAAAATTTGTTTTGAAGTTTAGAAATGGTTTTATCGAGGAAATATTATCAAAACACTCCGACAAAATTTCAAATAACCCAAATTGCATTTTAAGTGAATAAATGCATTAATATAGCAGTCAGTCCTCATACAAGCATACGATTCGACTGATTTGCTTAGTAAAACTGATTTTGATAGTGTACAATCTGGCTGTGATCATCGATGGCTGTAGTCACGGTATCCTAAGCGTCATGTACGTTGTATTCTCCACAGTCGCTGCATAATGTATTAATATGAATCCTTAAATAAACGTATTTGAATTATTAACTAATGTTTGGCCCGCATTCGCAAAGTTTTGGGCTGTGAGATGGTTAAGATTGAATTTCTTTATGCCTTCTCTCACGGAAGCGTGCAAGAAAAGGGCACCCTCCCGACCAAGTAAAAGCCCAGTTTGTCCGTCGTCCCCCGCCTCTGTCTTTGACCTCGACCGCTCTGAACTCGTTTTTCCCGCTCACTTACAAAGACTCTTCAGCACCACTCCACACAACAGATTTAACTTCGCGGTTACTGCAGCTACCAACTTGTGCGCAGCCCGTGCCGCCGACTTTTTTACTCCAAGTAGCCTACCGCGCCATTCTACAGACTTCAAATTCGTTTCTTGATTTCTTATGCAAACCGCATTTGATTGAGAGAATGACATAATCACCGCTCAGAAATTTTTTCGATGGTGAAAAATCGTAGCAAGGGACTGCAGCTACAATACACTGTGTAAATACATCACGTTGCTTAACGTACGGTTGAAACTCCCATGACTTTGTGTGGATAATCCCTCAAAGCTCACGTTTGACTTTTAACCGCAGACACTCACCGTTTAGACTCAACATTGTTATATGTTTGTAAAGTTGTTAGTCAGACTTGTTCCTTCCAATATGCTAAAGCAACCTAATTCTGTGGTGCTTTCACTTCACTGGTCGCATTGACCCTAGCTTTTCCTTTCGACCTTTTAAAAGAAGTTGTGGGTAAATCCTACTCCCACCTCAGTTGCTCTGCTTAGCTGCAACTAAAAGTGATCGGATGACATGGTTGTTGTAACACGTACCGCTTCCTCAAAGCCTTCTGTGTGCCAAGCGACTCGCACCCATTTCGAAGTAAACCTCGGTTCCTCACCGCTAAGTGCTAGATTGCAACGCCTTTGAAAAAAAGTACTGCAAGGTTTAATCTTCCCAGGCATCCCAAGAATAGCGCTGCCGAAATGCAGTTGCACTACCTCCATCGCCTGTCGATGCAAAGAAATGTACGCGCGTGTGGATGTGCAGCAGGGCTGTCGTAGCTTTGATCTTGAGGAAGCTTCTTTAGGGTCATCGACCTTTCGTTCTAGCTCTAAA